TTTTTTGGCAGAACCGGGGATTGAACTCAGGCCCTTGTGCTTGCCAGGGAAGCGCTTATTCCACTGAGCCATCTCCCTGGCCCCAATCACACAAATCTTAACTCACTTAATTTTTTCTTTTGGTTTTTTGAGACCGGCTCTCACTTTGTAATTCAAACTCACCCTAAATTATGTAACCCAGGCTGGCTTTAAATTTGAGACAACCTTCCTGCTTTAGCCTCTGGAGTGCTGGGATTACAGGTATATGCGCCACCATACCCAGCTCTTAGGTTTTTTGCCTAGGAAAATATTTTAATTAAAACTTACAACATATATACTTCAAAACCATTTTGGCCAGGGTGGCAGCACACTCCCATAAACCTAGCTATTACAGAAGGCTAGGGCAAGAAAATCATGAGTTCAAGACCAGCCTGGGGAGCATTGTGAAACCTTGTCTCAAAATTTTAAAAAATGGCTTGGGGTATAGCTCAGTACTCTAGGCTCAATTCCACTCCCTTAAAAAAAAGATTCAAACTATCTAGGATAAAAGAAGGAGTCAAACTAAGAAATCAAAGACCTGAACAGATTAAAAAATGAAACTTAATTTGATCAATGGTCATATTATAGTAAGACAAATTATTTAATTTATATTTCAATTCTGTAATTCTTTTTTTTTTTTTTTTGGTGGTACAGGGGATTGAACTCAGGACCCTGTGCTTGCCAGGCAAGCGCTTATTCTACTGAGCTATCTCCCCAGCCCCTGTAATTCTCTTACATTAATACTGATGGCATAACGTTTCAGTAAAGGATGGAAGTGGCATCCTACCTCAGTGATTTCTACTCTACAGAGACAGATGAGACACATAAGACAGGGCACTGCAGGTTAACAGCTAGAAATTAGACAGCCCAAAAGGCTACCAAGAAAAGTTTACAATAACGAATCCATCACCCATGCACCAAGTCCTCAGCATACAAAGAAGGCAAAGGGGCTGGGATGCGGGTAAGTGATATAGTGCTGCCTGGCACATAGGAGGCCTTGGGGGCAGGTGAGAACCCGAGAGTGCGAGCAGGGCAGTGTGCGCGCAGGGGCTACCTTCTCTGTGATGCCGTTGAACTTGGCCAGGATGTTGAATAGCGGCACCTGGGGGATGATGAGCTGCTCCTTCTCGTCCTTGTAGAGCGGGGCAGTTGGGAGGTCCAGCGTCAGGTACATAAACGTGGACTCCACCATTGTCTCCTGGTACTCGTCATTATGGAGCAGCTGCTCTTTCTCCTCTGCTGGCTGAGGATGAGCAAGAAGAAAAGGAAGGAAGGAGCGTGAGTGGTCGTCCAGTAAGGGAGGAAGGAAGGCGCCAGGGCAGTCTCACACGCAGCAGCAGCCTCTGAGCAGATGAAGTCGCAAACGGATGGCTTTCCCTCTTCTGAGGAATTTTATTTGTATGCCAGGCTACCTAAGAAGCTCTCAGGCTATGCAGAAAGTCTGGCTGAGATTTTTGGAGAAACATGCCAGCAGCTCTCAGGGGACAAACCAACCCGGCCCACAGCCCACTCCAGCCACTGCCGCCCCAGCCTGCAGCACCTGCCACAGTGGGGATCCAGGACGCTGCCACCAGCTCTAAGAGGCTCTCAGCTCTCTGACATCTCTTCGTCACCTCCAAATCCCACATGCAACATAAACTGGTCCAAGACCTGGCTCAACCCACTTACCAAATCAGGATGGGGAAGTTTTTTAGTGAAGATCCTCATGGACCCCTGGAAAACATCTGTCACAATTGCTGCACAAACAGAAAGCAAAGTACAAGGTCTGTGAGGCTGGAAAGCATGTCAAAACATACTGGCAATTTCAACATTTCTTACATGAGCCAGCATCTTCTCCCTAAACCACAGCTCTCCCTAAACCTACCACAATGGTTTTTTATAATTGTTTGTTAAATAATTATGTCTCCTCTACAAGACAACCTTTGACCCTCCCAATGCAGGGCCTGCTCCATAAGAAAAAAAGTGAGCTTGAAATGAATGATTTATAGTCTGATATATATATGATATGCATCAATCATAAGCAAAACAGTCCAACCAAGGAACTTCCCATGACCATCCACCACCTGGAAAGGCAGGCAATGTCCAGCCTGTGTTGCACACACACAAGAAAGAAAAATATGGACTGAAATGGAAGCAAGGCAGTGACACAAAGCACAGCCAGCCTCTAGAATCCACCAGGGCACACATGAAGAGAACCGAGGCAGAGCACAGGCTGAAGACATGAGGCAGCAGTGCAGGGCCTTTTAGTGGAAACAGCTGCAGGCCACACCAAAACATCGGACACCAGAACAGAGAAGACGTGAAAACTGCATTAGGGCTTCAAGATGACTCGGCTGGTTCTGCAGTCTGTAAGAGTCACTATAATGGCATTCAGGTAAAAAAAAAAAAAAAAGTCTAATACTGCTAAGCCAGTGTGAATGCTAAGGGACAGGAGCCTCCAAGGCTGGAACCTTGGGAGACCTCAGACTGCACAACCAGCTCTGATTTTGTGCTAACCTGCAACCTGCAGGCCAGGCAAGCCCCCCAGTGTGTCCTCCTTATGCTGCTTTTGCACAGGCAGGAGGCTCGGGTGCACAACACGTGGCCCAGTCATCAGTCTGAAAATGGGTCAAGATGTCTACAGCCCAATTTCACCAACTTTCACTTTTTAAATTTTTTGTAGTGTTGGGGATTGAGCCCAAGGCCTCGCACATGCTGGGCAAGCGCTCTCCACTGAACCACACCCCTAGCCCCTACCTTCTCACTCACACATCTGTACGTATCTATGCAGTACACAGTGTGACATTTCCATACTTGTACATGAGGTATAATGAGCAGATCAGGAAACTGGCAAATCTATCATTTCTTTGTGTTGGGAGCATTCCAAATCCTGTCTACCAGCTATCTATAAACTGCTGTCAACCATCATTATCACCTTGTGCTACAAAACATTAGAACCCACTCTGTACCCATTATTTCTTCCGCTTCCCCTTTCTCTCCATGTTCTTCTGACCTCTGGTAACCACTACGCTACTCCTTTTATAAGACCAACTTTTCTGGCTTCTCTAAGTGACAATATACTTATCCATCAGTACCTGACTCAAAGTTAATTATCTTCCAAGGATTTCTGTTTATTAAAAATACCACTGAGGGAAAAAAATTACCACTGGGGGGCCAAGCGAGATAGCTCAGCAGACTGAAGGACCTGCTTAAGCAGATGAAGCAGCTGGGGTTGAATCCCTGGGTGCCAGCCCCACCCTGGGGGCACGCTGAGACCTGACTGACACTGGGTATGGTGGTGCACACCTGTCTCCCAGCTCTTGGGAGGCTGAACACACAGATTGCTATGAGTCTGATCTGCACAGTGAGACCCAATACACCCTGTAATAAAAAAAAAAAAAAAGAACAAAACACTAGAAATATAACCATATTCTAACAAGAAGCTGTAAAAGCCAGACCTGGTGGTGCATGACTGCAATCCCTACTACTGAGGAAACTGAAGCAGAAGGATCATCAATCCAAGACCAGCCTAGGCAATTAGCAAGACCCTGTCTCAAAATAAATAAAGAGACCTGCGAATGTGGCTCAGCACTCTCTGGGTTCAATTCCCAATGCCACCAAAAGCACCAAAAAATCAGTAAAACAAAAAACCTAAAATTACAGTGAGAGGCCTATTTTGGAAGAAAATTTAGCCCATGTGTACAACAGATACTAGCCCTTGGCCACCCCCACTGAAAAAGAGATAAACAGCTACAAACAAGAGGACAAGAAGTTGCAAAGATTGTAGGGAGCCAGGGAGACAGCCTGGAGGTCTAAGCACCTGCCTGGCAAGCACAAGGACCCAGGTTCAATTACTGGTACGTCATGCCAGTGCCATATCGAGCCAGCCACCAAAACCAGGAGTAATGGAGCACACCTGTAACCTCAGTGTGGGAGGCTGAGACAAGAGGATCAATACAAGTCTGAACTGCATAGCGAGACCCTGTATCAAATAAATAAATAAATTTAAAAAAAAAAAAAAGTTTTGGAACAGAGTAAAGAAAAAAGAGCTCCTTTTCAAAAGCAACACCGCTTGGTACATGGTGGCACACAAATGTAATCCCAGCACTTACTGAGGCAAAGCTCACTATGAGCACCAGGCTAGTGTGAACTACAAAGTGAGTTCAAGCCAGCCTTAACTACACAATGAAACCTCACCTCAAAACGACTAAAGAAGGGCCGGAGAGATAGCTCAGTAGAATAAGTGCTTGCCTAGCAAGCGTAGGATCCTGAGTTCAATCCCCAGTACCGTAAAACAAAAACAAAAAAAAAAAGACTTACTTTTCTTTTTCTTCTTTGTGCCCCCCAGAGCAGAATGCAGGGCATTCAGAAACCAAGAAAGGAAGTCAACGCCATCCCCTGGGAAAAAAGAATAGAACATTTTGAAGCTAGGAGGCCTAAAAGGAACCCAAACTGCACAATACTGCCCCCACCCCGCTACTGCCCCCACCCTGGCCCTGCTTCCTTCCCGCCACACCCCTGTAAGCTTCTCTATCTCATCATTGATGCCAGGTGTCAAAGTCTGGTGATGTCCCTCAAGGTCAAGCTCTTCCTCGCTGTCTCTATTCTCTCCCTAGATGCCTGCACCCAGCCAAATCCACAGAAGGAGGCTCAACTACCACCTCTACCTCTACCCTATACTCCTTTTTTTAAAATATACTCAGTACATTAATTTAACTTTAGCAAGTATCTAGGACAACTATATATTTTTATAAATAATTTATTGTATAAAAAAATATATATACACTCAGTACAGGGTCTACAGAGTCTTACTACATAGATCATATTCATAGTGATTCTCCTGTTTTCAGCCTCTCAAGCGCTGGGATTACAGGCCTGCACCACCATGCCCAGTCTCATCCGCCATCTCAGTGCGCCCCGGGAGCAGAGCAGGCACTGCATGCAGAGGATCGAACCCCGGCTGCTGTGCTCTACTTAAGCAGGCACTTTAGTCCACTGAGCTATCTGGCCAGCCCTACCCTACACTCCTATCTCATCACCCAGTGATGAAAAAATGAATAATAACCTATAATATCCGTTTCTAGGGGAAGCTCTGACTTCCTTCTTCCCTCCACTAGCTACAAAGATTCCTGTCCTGCAAGGAAGGTGATTCTAGAGCTAGCACCAAGAAGGCTTATCCAGCAATGATTTTTAGGATCAAACATGTGAGCACTATTACTGATCCACGAAGTACATATCCTAAGAGCCTCCAATAAGGACAATCTGGGATAATGGTGACTTCCTTTCTAATTAAGATTTGCTTTTGGGGTTCGGGAGATAGCTCAGTAGAATAAGCACTTGCCTGGCAAGCGCTAAGGGGCCTAAATTCAATCCCCAGTTCCGCAAAAAAGAAAAAAAAGATTTGCTTCTATTTACGTCCTCTATGCTCACCCCATTAAAATCTCAAAAGCTGACAAAACTAAAAACAACATTTTGTATCTGTATATTCAAAATAGTTAAGACAGAAATACAGCTACGTTCTCTTAATCCAATCAATAGGGGGATTCGTTCTAATAGCGTTTGTAAACAGGATTTCATATCTGCATCTTTTACTAGGAATAACCACTAAGAAAACAACATGCAATGTACTAATTATTGAAGTTATCCTACTAATTTGATTTGAATACTCTGGTTTCTCTTCAGATAGTATAAATCTTTTGCCTTTTACTAATTTGATTTGAAACCATCTCATTGCTATTTGTTTCCCAACAAAATTATGGAAAAAAAAAATAAGAAAGATTTGTACTAATAGTATTTGGACAGGATATCATGTCTGCATCTTGTGCTATGAATGACTACTACAAAGACAATAATATGCAATGTATTAATTGTTGTAACTCTCCTACCAACCTGTTTTTAAGCTGTCTCATTGCAATTTTTTTCCTCAATAAAATTAATAATTAAAAAAAAAAAATCTCAAAAGCCACAGCATATCTTTCTTGGCCAGCCATGATGGCACATGCCCCTAACATCAGTACTCAGGAGTCTGAGACCAGCCTAAACTATCTCAAAAAAAAAAAAAAAAATGTCTTTCTTGGGGCATGGGGGATAGCTCAGTAGAATAAGTGCTTGCCTGGCAAGTGCAAGGGCCTGAGTTCAACCCCTGGTTCCGCCAAAAAAAAAAAAAGTCTTTCTTGGTCTGGGGAGACAGCTCGATGGCTCAGTGCCTATCTGGCAGGTGCAAGGTCCTGAGTTTGATGCCCAGTACCACATGCTGTGCTGGGCCCAGGTTTCCAGGCGAGCCGTGCCACTTGAAACTGGGCATGGCAGTACATGCCTGTAATCCCAGGGCTGGGGAGGCTGAGACAGGAGGATTGCTACAAGTCCAAACTGAGTAGCAAGTCTGTGTACCAAAAGAATAAAACTTTAGTTGCTGGGGAAATGGCTCAGTGGTCTAAGCACCTGCTTGGCAAATGCAAGGACCAGGGTTCGATCCCCAGTACCACATGCTATGCCAGCCACTGAAAACGGGCATGGTGGCATATGCAGTGCTGGGGAGGCTGAGATAGAAGAATCACTACAAGTCTGAGATGCATCCAAGCTGAGTAGCAAGACCCTGTACCAAATAAATACATAAATAAATAAATAAATAAATAATTTTAAAAAGAAAAGAATAAAAAAAAATTTTTTTACAGTCTTTCATAACTTCATTTCCCTAATCCCAAAAGCTTCTGACAAGGTGGGGCGTAGCTGAATGGCAGAGTACTAGTCTGGTAGACATGAGGCCCTGGGTTCTGCACCCAGCATGGGAAAAACACAGATTCAAAGGCCTCCGACAACTCTACAGGACAACACTCCCCCTACACACACACAGAATGTTTCATGTGACAACAAATGATCAATGCTAATAACACTACATACCAGACAATGGCTTAGGTCTCAAGAGACTGAGGAAACTATGTTTATGAGACAACACAGATAGTAATGGTAGAGGAAACTGTGCAAGTGTATTATTAGGTTAAAGATTTCTACATCTGCAACCAATACTGCTTTAACTTTCCAAATCTGTCAAAAGCTGAGAGGCCCGGGCCGGGGAGATGGCTCAGTGGAATAAGTGCTTACCTGGCAAGCGCAAGAGCCTGAGTTCAATCCCTGGTTCCACAAAAAAAAAAAAAAAAAAAAAAAAAAGCTGAGAGGCCCTAATGTCTGCCTTCAGCACGGGCACTTCCTGGGAGCTCTGTGCGTGCTGCTGTGGAGCTATCCAGCCGTGGCTCACAGACACTCAGTCCCCACAAGACTCTTACACCTTGATGCAGCCTGAACTTAAGAATCTAGGCCCTTAACCAAGAGCTGGTCCAGAAACGAAAATGACCCTCTGAACCGAAGATACCCTAGCAGTCTAGCAGTTGGAATCCAATGGTCCTACCTAGCACACAACCCAGCTGTCCCCTGCTCAGTTTATCTCAGTTTGCTGAAAAGACAATTTTATGTTATTATAAGTTTGTTCCTTTTCTGTAAAAATCTTTTTGATTTATATCTTGTACTCTGAGTAACTACTTTTTTTTGGTGATACCAGGGATTGAACTCAGGACCTTGTGCTTGCTAGACAAGCACTAATTTCTTTTCTTTTCTTTCTTTCTTTCTTTCTTTCTTTCTTTCTTT